AACACCTGTCAACTTCAATGCATGCGCACAAAGGACGAATAGGAACGTACAGCTTTCTCTCTCGCACACATTTTGGACACACTTTCGTGCCATTACTCCCCATTACTATGTATATATGCTCTAAGGTCCAAAGTGTGTGCAAGAGAGAAAGATATACGAATGATACTCGTCATCTTTGTGCATGCGTCAAAATCGTTGACTACATCACAGTTTCGACACTTTCTGCACTTAATGTGCTTATAAGTTTGTTCGGGCCGTGACACACAAAAAAACTTAAGCAGTAAGACGTAAGCAGTAAGTAAATTGACCAATCACAGTCGTTGATTCTTGGACAGTAAGAAGAATCAATGACTGTAATTGGTCAATTTGCTTACTGCTTACGTTTTACTGCTTAAATTTTTCTATGGCCGAATCTTCATAGTCGAATCTTATTTCAAGATCGTCTTAAGTAATGTCTTAAGATGCGAATACGGCTCTGTGATTGGTTCATGACATCTTAAGTACTTAAGTTGATCTTAAATATAAGACTATCTGACTATGAATACCGCCCTATGTGTCATCAGCTTAAGAATTGATCAATCATGTTGTGAATCGTCGAATCGTAAGGTCGTCATTTTTATGAATTCTCGATCGTAATTGGTCAATTCTTACGTTACGTCTTACTGTTACTGTTACGAAAAGTGTGTGGCTAGCTTTAGGGCTGTGGCACACAGAAAAACTTAAGCAGTAAGACGTAAGCAATAAGCAAATTGATCAATCATAGTCGTTGATTTGTAGACCGTAAAGCTGGCCACACATACTTTCCGTAACAGTAATCGTAAGATGTAACGTAAGAATTGACCAATCGTTGTTGAGAATCGTCGAATTGTAAGGTCGTCATTTTTGTGAATACTCGATCGTAATTGGTCAATTCTTACGTTACGTCTTATTGTTACTGTTATGGAAAGTGTGTGTGACCAATTTAAGAAGAATCAATGACTGTGATTGGTCAATTTGCTTATTACTTACGTTTTACTGCTTAAATTTTTTTGTGTGCCACTAGCCTTAGACCCGACCTACAATAGATGGAGTAAGGAGTAGGAGTAGTAGTAAGAAATAAGCAGTAAGTAAACAGATCAATCACAATCGATTATTTTTGAAACGTGTGAATGGAATTGGTCAATTTGCTTACTGCTTGTTTCTTACTCCTACTCCTACTCCTTACTCTATCTATTGTAGATCGGGCCTTAAGGGACGTCAACACATTGCAAGTAAGTAGTAAAAAGTAAGAAGTAAGAGTAAGAAATTGACCAACTACAGTCGAAGAAGAATAATTAACTATAATTGGTCAATTTCTTATTCTTACTTTCTACTTCTTACTGCTTACTTCCAATGTAGACGTCCCTTCAGAGTTGCTTGTACTATTCACACTTTTACACTTAATGCCTGTTGCACACTAGTGCACTTCATACAATACAAATTTTCCAAAATACGTTTTGAAGACGCTTTTAGGACGGAGAGATGTCATCAGAATATTTTTAGGGCGTCCTTTGAAGATGTGAGCTGTCTGAAAATAGCTAATATCCAATAAGTTTATTCACATTAATTGAACTTTTTACACTTTCACACTTAGTGCATCTTAATTCTTTAGGGTGCTATTTCACGTGTCATACGACAAGCTTTTCGGATACGTTTATTGGTTGGCGAATAGAGTATTTTTAGGTTCTCTGTTCGTCAACCAATGAACGTATCCAAAAAGCTTGTCGTACGACACGTGAAATATCAGCCTGAGAGGTTTTAAAAATGACGTCTTGATTTCCGTTCGTGTTACGAGTGTAAATGCAATTCTGATACACTTTTTACACTTTATCCCAAGCAAGAAACATGCATACAAATCTTATACATGTCTGTTTAAAATTAAAAACAATTAATTATTTGTTAGTTGATGATTTTCTAGATACACTTCAATGATAGTGGATACACAATGTGCTCTGCTGAGTTGTGAAAATACTCAGTTCTTAAAATATCAAACACCTCCAAAGGCTACATCTCAATTTTATATTAGTCGCATTGAAACACTAGCTACGAAAGCTGAAAGACTGTTACAAGTTGTCAATAGTGGACCATCTACACTTGTGTGAGATAAAACTACTCTGCTCAAACTGGCAAACGAAGACTGTACATGATCATCAATAAAAATTATTTTCTTATGTGTTATAATGGTGTATTAATATTTATTTATCACTTTAGTATTATATCCTAGGTTGCATTCCAAAACGTCCTTTGCGAGGAAAATTTTACTCTTAAGTCTATAGTATATGTAACATGAACTATAGAATTAAGAGTAAAAAATTTTCCTTGAAAAAGATGTTTTGGAATGCAACTCTAATATAATTTCATTTATGACAGCTCTTGTTACATATTGTTCATCACAACTGAAACATATATAGGGTATTTACGATAAGTTGTCGGATTGAAAATCCGACTGAACAGTGGTACTCAATCGACCCATTTCAAAAAATTCGCTAGCTTAATCAAATTTTAGTAAAAGCTGTCTCAGCAGTAGTCGGATTAGCTTCATAGCGACGTGAGGTGATACTTTGTCCTCAAGAGAAATAAAAAGATAAAAGTCGGTAGGTACGTAATTATTATTCTAATGATTAGCGCGTATCATTTTCCTTATATATCAATATATGAATAAATGATCTGTTACACTTTCACTGATATTAAATTAATGAAAAGAAGTATTAGTAATCTCACGTGTAGTAAACATTAATCTATGATAATATTGGATTTATGTTATAATTTCGTATGTAACAAAATAAGAACAGTATAAAATCTGTCAAATTAACATTTCAAACATATTAATTTTAAAATATATTAAGGACATTTATGCATTTATATATAGATATATATATAAATATGTGTGCTTGTATATGTGTATGTTCATATGTGTAATCTATAATTATTTACACACTTATATTTTTATATAAAAAGAATATTTATATTTTTATAGATTGTGTGTGTGTGTGTATGTGTGTATATATATATATATATACTCAATGCTGTTCGATAAATCGAGTAGAGTTAGGGTAATATAGCGGATAGTATAAGAATTAACAGTATTAGGTAACATAGTTTCATAAAATATATAACAATAATATTACGAAACAATGAGTTGTTACATGAGTTGTTTTAGAAAAATTAGAAGCACTAAATTAAATTATGAAAAGGTATCATGTATTTGTGAAATATCCAAAAGTAGAAAACAATTCTTGTAACCTATTATTAACCTAATATTATTGAATATTTCACAAATACATGATACCTCTTCATAATTTAATTTAGTGCTTCTAATTTTTCTAAAATATAATAAATCATTATTTCTTAATATTATTGTTACATATTTTACGAAACTATGTGATCTGATACTGTTAATTCTTATACATATACTATACGCTATACTATCCAAACTCTACTCGATTTATCGGACAGCATTGAGTTGTCATAAATCATGAATCATGATACTAGATGCTTGTACTTATCATATTTCTTGGCCCTAGCGAAACTAATTCGTACTAACTCCAATTCGAATTATTGTAAACATCCATTATTTGCCTAAAGTATTTGACGATTCGACGCATGCGCAAAGAGAACGAATATCGCTTCTATACCTTTCACTTTTGCACATATTTTGGACACACTTTTGGTGCTGACATTCCTCCTTCCATGTCTATATACTCCAAGAGGGAACCCGATTGACCACGTCCCGATTGGACACAGATTATATCCAGACAACATAGGCCCATATTCTGAATATTCTTTTATCCATAACAGTACCTTAAATATAGCTTCTCAGTCAATCTGAATTCCCAAGCTTGGGATGGCTCCCAAGCTTTTTTTAGAGGCATTTTTATAGATAAAAGAGGATTCAGAATATGGACCCAACAAAAGGGAGCGTCCCAGATGCGCACATTGACAAATGGACACAGCTAACCACAACGCCGTATGTCTAGAGATATTCTAGACACTCTATAAACAACGACATATGATTGGATGTGTCCGTTTGTCAATGGGTGTATCTGGGACTCACTCGGCCAAAATGTGCTAATAGCATGTTCGACTGGCTCTGGGTTAACCCACTCTGGATTATTTAGCCTACGTTTATTGGTCGAACAAGTACTTATAAGCTTTATGATTGGCTAGTAGAGACTTATGACGTTATTAATCGTTCTCAGAGTGTTTAACCCAGGGCCAGTCGAACACGCTATAAAATCGGGACATAAGACGTCTTAAGGTCGGTCTACATTAGTTGCAAGTCGATTTCAACTCTTGTTGCGACAGCCAATCAATAGCACCATTGATGCTTCTGATTGGCTGGCGCAATAAGAATTGCGTCTGCTTGCGATTGACTTGCAACTAATGTAGAACGATCTTTAAAGATAATCTTTAAAGCAAGCGGCATACGATGCTTGTTTTCATGCTGGATGGAAATACTCTATTCTGATTGGTCCGTCTTCAGAAATGCACCAATCAGAACAGAGTATTTCCATCCAGCAAGCAATCCAGCATGAAAATAAGCATCGTGTGCCGCTGGCTTTAAAGCTTACTACACCTATTGTGAATCGGAATTAAAGACCCTTGCAGAATGCCAGGCAGCAGGCAATAGGAACACGGAATAGGAATTCGGATTGATCAATTATTTCTATTCTCTGTTCCTATTGGCTAATGGTTATTCCTATTGCCTGTAGCTTGGCATTGTGCAAGGGTTTTTAGCAATCTAGTTTAATATACCCTGCGTTCCTTTTGGGCGCTCACGCGCTATAAGCGTCATTCTATCTTTATCACTTATTAGATGCGGAAGAAAAATAGAGTGACGCTTATAAGCGCTTAAAGTGCGTAAGCGCCCAAAAGGAACGCAGCCATAGACATCTGTGGAACGTAGCCCAAGCACGAGTCACGCGACGAATGGTGTACTCACGCATGCGCGCTAAAGCTGCATACGGTTCGTGATCTTTGTACGACGCTCTCTTCTCCATTCGGCAGCCGAGGGGTACGGACGCTTGCTCAAGTGTTGCTGGATCGAGCTCACACAGTGCGTTCGACACTGGTAACGTTGCTCGCGACAACGTGATTCAACATCTTGTGCTGAATCGTTGAATAGTAGCGCAATGGCCGATCAAGAGAATAAGGATTTCAGCGAGGATATCGCCGATCAAAGTTTCGAGCAGAATGGTGAGGCAGAAAACGGCGGCAACGATAATGGCAACGGCAACGGTAACGGCAGCGTCGGTGCCGGCATGGGCGACGGCGACGCAGCGGAGAACGGTCAAGAGTCGCAAGAAGACAGGTAATTTTTCCCCTTCATTCGTTACGTGCGCGCGCGATACTGTATCGATTATTGTGTCCTGAGAACATTTCGGAATTTGTCGTGCTATCGCGTGAAGCATCGCGAGGCATCGCGTCGCTCGCTCGCGCGCTCGTCAAAATGGCGGAGATAAAATACGTAGACCACCGCGAAGCGTTAATCCATTCGCATCGGCACGATGTAAATGGATTATGCTTCGACGACTCGGACTTCTTGCTTCGCCGTGGCGGGCCGCATAGCCGGCTACTTGTCGTTTGACGACAATCCCCGTTCGCGATCGAGCCACTATTGGCGAAAGAATCCAAAGATAGATAATGGCCGAGTAAGAATGACGAGTGGAAGCATCGGCCACGGACCCGGCAAGGGCGCGCCCAAGCAAAGCGTAAGAGACGAAGATTGTCTCTGTGTGCATATATGTGCGTACAACGAAAAGATAAAATGGCGTATACGAGGTTGCGAATATCGAAAGTTTGACTACATAATCCGAGTCGCGCGAGAGTAATTTTCCGCACGTGTTACTTGGGCGCGTTCATCACTTGCGTTACAAACACACAGAAGGCAGTCCCTTGCGAGCGTTACAGCGGAAATTCCGCGTATGAAAATGAGTTACTTGTTGAGTAACATGATATTCGATGATTAAGTAAACTGAGAAATTACTAAGATAGGGCAGGGCGTCAAAGAGAAAGTGTATTTTGCGCGCGGTATCTTGGTAGAGATTCGACAATGCTTTGCTTCGAGTGTTCATAGATTGTAAGTTCTTGCCCGCTACTGCCCCCTCCCCCTCGCAACCGACTCCTTTTCAGCGTAACGAGATCTCGAGATGGATGAATTTGACCACCCGACACATTTGAAACGATATCGTGGATATACGAGATTCTAATCTATGTAAATATTTTATAGTCGCACTTGTACGATGTGTTATGTGGAAAACCTCTCTTTTTCTTGCCGTAATTTCTTTAGTCGCTGTGTACCGTTTGTAGAAGAAATCTTTGCATCTTCTTTCTTCTAACTTTTTGCATACCTTTGGATACATCTTTGGATTTTCGCAAACTTGCGTTACTTTCATCGTTTTCTGTATGGTGATTATGTGGGAAAATACGTTCCAGTATTAGTAAATTCAGCAAGCAGGGTAAGCATCATTAGATTAAATAGTAGAGCTATATAAATTTTTTCGCAGAAAAAGTGGACGTAACCTTCAAATTCTGTATTTTTAGTACAAATAGGAGTTCGCGCGAGAAGCAAGTTTTTATTTATACTATGCGCGCGCGCGTACACACACATCTTTTATATGCGCTATACTCTGTGTGCGTGTGTGCTTTGCGCGCGCGCGCACACACACACACACACCCCCACACACACACACACACACACCCACACACACACACACACACACACACAAATATACCATTACAAAAGTATCCAAAAATATGATTATTGATTACGAATTTGAAGCTGTACTTCCTCTTACTCGCAATTAAAAACATATACATACCAAGGGACATGACTTCTGTGTGCAAAGTAACAAAAGTAAACAACCAAACGTCAATGTTCCACAGTCTAAAGTTTTTTTTTAGTAATCGAGTATTCCGAAGTGAAAAATGTTGCATGTTGTATTTTACAAGAATAACTTAAGCTATCAAACATGTGTAATACAGATAAGTGCTAATTTCTTATGTACTATTAACATGTGCCATTCTTGCGCAGAATATATTTATTTTTGTTGTTGCCATTTCAAATTTTGTAAACATTTATGCAAAAATCATATTTCTATTCCTATATCTAATTGTAATTATAGTTCCAATTGGTAAGTAATAGTACTTAATACAGAGGGAGAGAGAGGGAGAGAGAGAGAAAGTGCGTGTGTGTGAGAGAGAGAGAAAAATTGCTGCAAACTGCCTCGCAATCTCTATCAGACTTGTATATTCAACGTCACGCAAATAATCGTAATATTTTTATAGAATATAAATTTGAATATGCACTTTTCGGCCAGCTGAGAGTCTTCTATCCTCGTTCATTCATTGCAGCCTGAATTCTGATTAGTCAATTGCTCACGATTGACCATACGTACGCTTACCTGGGATCTATGCGAACCGAAACCGTATGAAGCCTTACGCAATAATTTCTGAGTCTGAATTATTGCAAGAAGTCTACGTCAAGTTCAAGTCCGTCATGTTTCGTCACAACACAAGCACTGGAAGTCGAGTCAAATTTCAGATCGATAAGTTTCGCACAGACACACACTTGCCTGCTGCGTCACGCGTAGAGTTATTTCCATTCCTATGTGTACAAATGCCGTTTGGGCGTGACCAAAGCACAGAATTACTAGGGCCAATGCGAAAATGTCCAGTAGGTCGGAATGCCATTAACCCTGGTTTATGTGGCTTGATCTGCAGGTGGCAAACGACCCGGTGCGATTATGGCGGGCGGCTCGCAACCGGCTAACCGTGATCCGACCAACAACTGAGATTACCGGCGAGTGACTGGTGCCCACGGTATTTATCACCAGCCATAAACGATTTTTACGAAAATATCGAATGTAATCAATACAGGCGGTTATTGTGTCGATACTGCGAGAAAAAAATCATTGAAAACAAAGCTTGCAGCTTATATTGTTTGAGTACGAGATGGATGAAAAAGTGTATCGCGACTCGAGACAATCCTTGTACACTTGTCGTACATTTGTCGATGAGTGTTGCGTAAAGAGAAGGAGAGAAACAGAGAAAAAGGGGGAGAAAAAGAGAGACACAGAGAAAAGACAGAAAAAGTGATAGAAAGAGAAAAAGAGAGGGAGAGAAAGAAAGAAAGAGGGAGAGAGACAAGGAAGAGAGACAAGCATATATATATATATATTTATAACATACATATAGCATATATACATATAGTACATACATATATTTATATATAGACACATATAGAAATAAATATCCGATATATTGTGTGCACGTAGATGTGTTAATCAAAAGTGTCGAACACTATTTATCGTCAACTTGTGATATGAAAACAATCTTTTTAGCTTTTTTTCGATATAGTTGCAGTTTTCCTACCGTATTCTTTGGATCAATCAGCAGTCCGAGTACTACTTGGAAAAGAGTTAAATCTTGTTTCCTTTAGGAGCAGCTGTACTTCAACTGGAGTTGTAACTATTGCTCGTGTTCACGTCGATTAAAAAGTATCTTGCTCTCTCGATGCGTTAACTTTGGCATATATATACATATATGTATCTATTTTTGTTTTCGAATTTACTGATTTCTTGGTTTTTTGTTCTTTTTTATTTATTAATTTTCTTTATTACTTTTTTTTTTCTTACGACAAATATATGTATATACTTTTCAAACGTTCGAATCAAGGTCTCTGTGGGTGTGCAAAGCAGTCTTCTTGTATGATCGTTTTTTATAATTTCTATTTCACATACCACAAAGGACAGATGCACACTGTTATACATCTTTTGTACGAGCCCATCTTTACCAGCCATTTTTCATTTATTCTAGGAACGGTATCATTCCATCGTTTTTGCAATGACCTCGGATTTTGCAATTATCATGTCTATATTACCATAAGAAATCTTTTCTAAATTTCCATATAGGTGATCTAATTAGCTGTAGTTTACACTTATGCGTTCGTAGATATAAATTTAAAGATATCTATAGATATATTATATAGACGTATATTTGCACGTATGCTATAAGCAATATATATACACATACGCACCTGCTGAACAAAGTTCCCTACCTAAATCTCTTCGAGAGTCGATCCACTGCCCCTTTTGCGAATGACACTATAGGTCCGTTACGTTTTCTTTTTTGCATATATCGTATACATTTAATTTTTTTTCATAACTTAATACTGATTCTCTAATATTTCCAGGGGTCAAGTTGATACTCTCTCTTTTTTCTTTTTTTCTTCAATGATAAATGGAATCATTTCGTTTATCAAAAGACGAACTTTCGCTTCGATTTCACAATTCTTAATATCAATTAACATACTAAAAAAAAAATCTAGTAAAATATAAATCCGTTCCGTTGCTTTGCAGGTCGGCGAGCGGTAACCAGGACTCTCTGAACGATAGGTACATTCAATTTTCATTATTTGTTTTATTTATTTTTACACTCAATCGTAATAATGGACTCTGAGAAAATGAAAGAAAGTACATGTTGCATGCGACGAATATGCACATGTTATATCCTTAAATTAGTGACCGGCTATGAATGAATTGTTACCGTAGCTTGTAACAGTCACTCGCGAAAGAGGCGTGGACACATTGCCACGCGCTATCCTGTACCGTTTATATCGAAGATAACTTTTCCGCTCGTAGTTGCAGATATTTGAGAATTTGCCGACGTCACAAGCCTGAATAATGATATATCTGTTTTAACGATGGGCCCATAAATTACTCGTTATAATGAAACACTCGATTTTGTGACATTAACTAAAGACTCACGACGAAGATACCTTGCGTTAATTTTCGTTAGCTTTAACTTGCCGTTTTTGTTCTTCGCAGGAAATTATTTGTTGGCGGTCTAAGTTGGGAGACAACTGACAGTGAGTAACTCATTCTTTTCGAAATTATCTTTGGATATAATAGGTGTTTTTTTTTTTTTTTTTTTTTTTTTTTTTTTTTTTTTTTTTTTTTTTTTTTTTTTTTTTTTTTTTTTTTTTTTTTTTTTTTTTTTTTTTTTTTTTTTTTTTTTTTTTTTTTTTTTTTTTTTTTTTTTTTTTTTTTTTTTTTTTTTTTTTTTTTTTTTTTTTTTTTTTTTTTTTTTTTTTTTTTTTTTTTTTTTTTTTTTTTTTTTTTTTTTTTTTTTTTTTTTTTTTTTTTTTTTTTTTTTTTTTTTTTTTTTTTTTTTTTTTTTTTTTTTTTTTTTTTTTTTTTTTTTTTTTTTTTTTTTTTTTTTTTTTTTTTTTTTTTTTTTTTTTTTTTTTTTTTTTTTTTTTTTTTTTTTTTTTTTTTTTTTTTTTTTTTTTTTTTTTTTTTTTTTTTTTTTTTTTTTTTTTTTTTTTTTTTTTTTTTTTTTTTTTTTTTTTTTTTTTTTTTTTTTTTTTTTTTTTTTTTTTTTTTTTTTTTTTTTTTTTTTTTTTTTTTTTTTTTTTTTTTTTTTTTTTTTTTTTTTTTTTTTTTTTTTTTTTTTTTTTTTTTTTTTTTTTTTTTTTTTTTATAAAATTTTAATATGTAATGAAACGAGAGTTATATATTCTTTTTCCATATGCATACATATATATGTATATGTAACAAATTATAACGTAACAAATTAGAGCAGAAATAAACAAAGATCGCAATAATAGCCATGATGTGGTATTTACTTAGGACACCTTCAGATGACAAGTGTCATATGAGATAAATCTTTCTATCTGAGCTCAACAACAATTCTTTAGATTGCTGACTTTAAGACGATGCAGAATTTAAAGGTTCTTAAAAAAATCATTTTATGCATTTCTAGAGGAACTGAGGGAACATTTCAGCTCTTATGGCGATATCGAAAGTATTAATGTCAAGACAGATCCCAACACGGGACGATCGAGAGGATTCGCTTTTATCGTCTTTGCTAAGGCAGAGTCGCTCGACAAGGTAATTATTATCTCTTCAGTATGTGATCATAAGTTTTTTTTTGTACACTTTGTCGCGACGTTTGCGAAGCACATGTATCAGCATTGTAACCGAATGTGTTTCTCTTGTTACTATATCGTGATGATATCAGTTGTCCAGTTCTGCTACCGAGTGCATGTGACGACAAATTTCCTTCTGATTATGTTTAACGAATTTTTAACGAACAATCATAGATCTCGGAACAATATCTCAGGAGTATGTTTTCTCTTTCAGATTATGGCAGCTGGTGATCACGTGATCAATAATAAGAAAGTTGATCCTAAAAAGGCAAAAGCTCGACATGGAAAAATATTTGTTGGCGGTCTTTCGACAGAACTCTCCGACGACGATATAAAGAATTTTTTCTCACAATTTGGGACTGTAAGTGATTATTGCTCATGGATACTTTTTAACAAATATACGCGCATAATACTTACAAAAAATCGGAAATAATCCTGCAGATCGTTGAGGTGGAAATGCCGTTCGACAAAACCAAGAATCAGAGGAAAGGCTTCTGTTTTATCACTTTCGAATCAGAACAAGTGGTCAATGAATTGCTGAAAACCTCGAAACAGACGATAAACGGTAAAGAGGTGAGTACGCGAATTTTTGTGTTATTTATTTTATTTTATTGGATAAAAAATTTGATGTTACATTAAGCTAGCGTATGTAGCTCCCATAAACACTTGCATTCATTGGTCAATAATTGCATTCATTGAAATATTGACATTGTATAATTAGGGTTTGTTTAATCCTTTAGTCGCGTTCGGGATCGAAGAAAAGTGTTTCAACAAAACAAGATCGCGAAACATGACAAAAGCACGAAATAACGAAATATAAAATGTTATATAGGTCGACGTGAAGAAGGCAACGCCCAAACCGGACGGTATGGGTGGCATGCGTGGTGGACCGGGCGGTCGGGGTGGTCGTGGCGGCAGAGGAGGCAGAGGTCGCGGATTCGGTGGTCAAGGCGGATGGGGACAGGGCGGCTACGGCGGCGGATACGGCGGCGGATACGGTCAAGGTGGATACGGCGGTGGTTATGATGGATACGGTGGATACGACTATTATGGTGGTGGTGGGTACGGAGGCTACGGCGGCTACGATTATAGCGGATATGGTAATTTCATTAATTCTCATTAGGCTGACGGTAGACTCGCGGGTTCCCGTCTGTGCGATTATACTATCGGGAACCGTTTTTTTTGCCGTGCTTTTCTGTTTTGTCTTCGAGAAAGATGAATGACCGAATGATTCGAATAACCGTTGGCATTCCAGTGTGTTTGTTGATCGGCGATAAAGACATTTTTATTTTGTACAATTTCGCGCTGTAATCCAGAGACTTTTAGCTAGATAGATTATTAAGAATGTTCAAGCGAAATCGTATACAAGATACTACGACATGTACTGAATATACTGAGACCCTCAATAATCCCGCTTTCGATCCTGGACACATTCTTCTCGACACGCATGATGTTCCAAGTTTCTTTCACAACTCACAATGATCATCTCATCCGTAATGAAACCGCCATACACGTGCTCTTGCCGTAGAAAAATAATTTTGTTTCGAATGCGATATGCATATATGTTATTTGGTTTTTCTAAAAGTAGACTGATGGTTCTTATCGATATACATGCATATATCGATGATTGATTTTATTCCTTTTTTATACGGTGTGTTACATGACGCAGATGGATATGGCTATGGCAGTAGTTACGACGGTGGCTACAGTGGTGGGCGCGGCGGCGCACGTGGTAAAGGTACGCATTTTAGCGTCCTTTCTTTAGGATATTTTATTATTGTCGTGATTTATACGATATATACACACTATTCTATATTTTTTTAGTGGCCGTACATTCAGACCTATTCGCTCATTCGCATACATTTTTTCTGTATTAAAATTACATTCATCCGTTCATGATTTCTTTGTGGTTCTCGGAAGTAAAAATTTTACTTGTCCACTCTCTTTTCTCTTTATATCCTTATCTTGCTTTCTATTCCTTGCACTGAATGCCTCTTGTTCTTTATCCATCGTATTATTTCTTCTACGTGATATTGTATCAACGTGCGCGCACGAGCGTGTGTGTAATCAAATTATTAAATAGATTCGGTTTAGGTAGAATTCGCGTCTGACAAACGTATTCCGCATTATGCTATTTTGTATCTCGACTATCAATGGTTCCATACATGTGTAAGAAAAATGTTAAGTATAAATATTAATAGAGCGTGTAAAGCTTTTCACCTTCTTTCTTAATCTCTACCTATATTCTCCATACTTTGTTTTCTACTTTTATGCTGTTCATTTGTTTCTTTATTACTCTTTAGATGAATGCCTGCATATAGACGATCCGACATGTTTTTTTTTTCTTTTCACTGTTTACGTTTTTCTTAATTTCTCGTGGAGATATATGTGACATATGCACGCAGCTAGGATACGAGTGACGGTGAGACGTTGGACTAACGGTCTATCATATATTTGCAGGAGGTTCGGGTTACGGTGGTAAGCAGAGGGGAAGTGGTCGTCAGAATCAGAGGCATCAACCCTATTAATAGAAATTCTCACTTGCGATCGTAACGCGCAATTCGCGTTGCAACTACCGGTGAGTCATTTTCCAGTTTCTTAGCGCTCTTTCTTCCTTTTCTACATATTATTAAATTATCTAGAGGTTTTGACGTGTGTAAATGGTGTCAGTTAATGATTTCTCAAATTATCTCATTTTATTATGTATCCTCTGAAATGTATTTCGTATGCTTTTAAGTTGATGGTTATCCGCACGTTATTCAAGATGTTTATGATGATCCATGATGATCATGATGATCCATGTTTTCAAGATCACTTGATAATTAACAATATTTACGATGTATAGGATAATTTATAATATTAAAAGTACCTTTTCTTTTCAGGTTTTGCGTTGTATAAGAAATTTCATGTCGTTGCATCATCATTCCACTAGATCACGTGTCTCTCGACAAAAATTGAAACAACGCAGACAACTGCCGTAAAACAAAGTCAATCTCCAAGATTCACTGCAAAAGAAACAACAATAGATTGTCGTTTCGTGTTTAGTTGTGTGTTTTGTGTGTATCATGTATACATACACAGACACACAGACACACACACACACACAGACACACACACACACACACACACACCTCCCCTATCCACCCTCTTTCCCCATCCCTCTCTCCTTCATAAGTTTGCTCTTCAGCTCTTGCGAATCGTTGATTCATGTGCAGACGCGTACCGCGTATCATGAATACATATATTAATAGATTATTTTAATTCCGTCTATATAATATAAAATTACATATAACGACAGAGAAAAGTCCATCCTGAACGAGTAAGCGGAGTCGAGAGTGCTTTTCACATGTTACGCAAAACTCTTGTCTCTTCCCACTATTTTCGCACGACATGTGAAAGTATCTCGTCTGTTGATTCGTTCAAGGTAGGTTTCCTTATCGCGCGTGTGTGCGTATGTATGATGTATGATGTGCGTGCGTGCATGTATGTATGTATGTATGTATGCATGTATGTATGTATGTGTGCGCGTGTCTCTATTGAGACAGTACCACTTTCGAATGGTGTAAAAATAACTTAGGTTCGTAACGTGTGTGCTGCGACGAATTTTCGCTCGATGTAAGAACAGCGCATGTACATTATATTTATATACTGACAGTTTCATTCTAAGTAATGAGGATTAAGATTGTCTCAATATGTCGTAATAAGACTTTTAAAGTACAATCTGGTATTGTATTTTCCTCTGAGTACATACTGTTCTGACGCTGTATCACAGAAAGTATTAAATTCAACACAAATATTAAAAGTTTTATGTTAATAGAACTTTATTTAAAATAAAACAAGATTATATGTAGATAGTGTCTGATATTTTTGCGCGACTTGTGGTCACACATTCCTATTCTTTACCGACACTGGTGATATTACCGACCGTTTTATTGGTTGATAAACCGTTGGTTGATTATCGAGAATCGACAGTAGGTTTGTTCGAGTTGCTTGTTACTGTTCAGAACCTCCGCACAAGCCATCCGTAACATGTTAGGGCCTGAGTACAGACTTTTGCATAACGCATAACATAAGGAAATCAATCAATCAGAGTCATTCATTTCTATACTGGAGAGGGAAATAAAGGTCTCTGATTGGTTGATTCCCTTATGCGTTATGCAAAAGTCTGTGCTCCCAGCCTTAAGTTTACTTGTGCGGATTTCTTTGTGCGTTGACTTAAGTTTAAGTTTACGTACAGGTATGGCCTGAATTGTATTGTCAGTACTGAACGTATCATAACATGTTACGGATGTGCTTGTGCGTTGGTTCTCACACTTTTACACCTAATGCCCGTTGCACACTAGTGCACTTCGAACAACACAAATTTTCTAAAATACGTTCTGAAGACGCTTTTAGGACGGAGGGACGTCATCAGAATATTTTTAGGATGTTCTTTAAAGGTGTCTGAAAATAGCTAATATCCAACAAGTTTATTACGCGTAAATTACGTGGAATACGTGGATGGACATTTATCCACGAAATATCGATATAGATGCAACGTTGATTTGTTCTCGATAGATCGAGGTATCTAATCTTCGAATATCAACGTAGATTTCACGTTTACCATATCCCGATAAAAACAGATACGTTGTATCCACGTCGAATCCACGTAACTTACGTGGAATACATAGATGGACATTTATCCACGAAATGTCGATATAGATGCAACGTTTATTTATTCTCGTAAACCTTCAACGTAAATTTCATGTTAGCCACATCCCCATGCCCAAGTAGAACAAATAAACGCAATGACGCCACAATGAGTAGAAAAATGATCGAAACGTGATTAAAAAATGAATTTTTCAGTCATTTTCTCATTTTGACATTATTTTGACGTCAACGTGATTTGATGTTCGATCTGGGCAATACAGTTTTTATTATAATAGAAGAGCATCTCAATTGCGTAAGTTGCAATTGACTGCAACTACAGATTATATTGGTTACAGATTATAATGATTCATTACACTATAGATTTAATAATTCATCAAATCATGCTATGCCCATTCACATAGTCCACGTAAATTACGTAAATTCGACGTGTAAATAACGTAATAAAAAAAATTTTACTATAAAAATTTTAAGACCGAAATGGAATGTGCGGTGTTTCGTAGACTTCACTTCATTAGTTAAGGTTTAAATTAACAATAAAAGTACGAAAAATATAATTTTTAAAATTAAATGACATAAAAATTATATTACTGCGTTAATTGCAACATATATAGATAAAATATAAGACGTTTTTATCGGTCGAAGAAGTGGTGTAGTGTCTAAAGCAACAGGCTCATAATTCAAACGTGCCTCAGGTCCAAGTTCAAATCCCAGTGTTAGTGAGAATTTTTAAGTGTGATATAACATTTGGAATCAAGTAATTTCAAATTTCAAATAAAGTCAGCAAACGCTGACTAGTTTTTTATTTCAACCAATTTGCCAATATTTGTAAAAAAGTGAAACTGTTTGCGCTTTTTTCCTTGTACGTTCTATGAATATTCCGGAATATTTTGGAATATTCTTGGAATGTTAATTTTAGATTTTAGGAACATTTTATAAATATTCCAGGAATATCTAGCTTTTACTGGGAAAATGCCCATCCACCTGATTCATATAAATTACGTGGATTCGACGTGGATATCTGTTTTTTTTTCCACGTGGATTCTAGTACCGTTTTCGAGCAGATGATCCACTCGATGTACCACGTGGATGTCGACGTCGATGATCCACGTGATAGTGATGTGGTACGTGATTTCACGTACCTGTTTTTGTCGGGATTCTAAATGGTAACGTTGTTTTATTCGATAGTTGGAGCCTTTTTCTTGGTTAAATATAAGTCGCTTATATTAACATTTCAACTATTATCCCACACAGCACGTGATTATAGAAATATTGCAGTGATATTGCAATATAGTAGTAATATTATATATCACAGTGAAATATTACAGAAATATTACTGAAATATTGCACGTTTACATATTTCATTGAAATATTACAGAAATATTACTGCAACATTACATACTTATATCATTGAAATATTTCACTTATATTTTTGCAATATTGCAGTTGCAATATATCATATTCTAAGTAGAAAGATGACATCATGTGATATATCAGTTTTTTATTGACATTACAGACATCATTAAAACGTTATTATGGCGTTATTTGAAGTCACCTTTCTACTTGGAATATTATAAATTGTATTAGAATATAAAATATATTTGAGGTAATGTATTCCCACACAGCAGAGGTGTCCAGAATACATTACAGAGACATCCTAAAGATATATTTGGGATATGTGATATCTTGAAGATATCCCTATGATGTATTTGAGATATTCCTGCTGTGTGGGTTGTTTTTCGATGTAATAAATACATTTTTTATTAATATCAGTAAGTTGTGTACATTACTCTGCATCATGAGTATGGTGAGTAACATTAATTATATTATTGATATGTTACTTTGTAATATTGCACAATAATATTACAGTAACATTGTTGCATATATATTAAATCCTAAGTAGCAAGATAATGTCAAATAACATTTTCATTACGTCATTAAAATGTTATTAAAATGTCATGTAATGTTAGTTGGCACGTAATATATCGTATTGAAGTATGAATAATATATTTCAAAGGTAATATATTATTTTATAATATGACAAATATCTTTTTTGTTAATATTATTCACAAGAGGAACTTCCTTTCTTCGGGTCACTGATTTTACCGAACTTTTGTAGAAATATAATATTGTTATAGAATTAACAAACGTTATTCGGAGACTATGCAACTCTCAATCGTTTATGAGAAATTGCGGTTTGAAATTTAACAAGCACTCTTAGTTCCATTGTAGTAGAACACGGATCGAGCAGCGGTGTAGCGCAGCGGACTAGGCGTCACATTATAAATCTGCACGTTAGGTATTCCGAGCTGGTTTGAACCCAATTCAGTTTAGTTTTTTTTAAGTTCTTTGTTGGTGCGAATAAAAATATGTAATATATAAAATAATACGCAGACAAATCCTTTATACAATCGAACATTTTTATTACAATAATGACTGTGATATATTACAGTAATATTACTGTGATGCGTTTTCGCGGACATTGTGATATTACTGTGATATCTCAGTAATATTACAGTAATATTTCTGCTACATTTCATTGTAAATGAAACTGCATTTCATTGCAATGGAACTGTAATATTACTGTGATATTACTGTAATATTACATGCTATGTGGGTATATTACCAAAATTGGTATATAATATGTTTATTTGTGTATCTCACCATCACCGTAAGATATTTTAATAGCGTATTCTGAAGATAAAGTAGAGTAAAAAATCCTAATGCAAAAATGTCGAGGCTACGATAGTTTTTGAATTATAACCGTTCAAAGTTTACCAGTAATATCGCGTAGAATTCGCACGCTCAAGCCCGTAGTTATACAGCACGCATATCGTTTTATCATTTGTTATCGACTTCACAGTTAATATTAGTTTTTACTACACAGCTGATTCTTGAAAACATTAATAATTATTATTGTTATTATTATAATTATTAAATTTAATAGTTTTACACTTAAAACAAGGATTTTTGCGTTTTTGACATGAAAAGTAATCATGGAAAATAATTTATTATTATTTTTATATTTTTCACGTTTTATGAGGAGTGAAATCGTATAAATCGTATTTTTCATGATTATTTTTCATGTCAAAAACGCATAAAATCCTTGTTTCTCAAATGTGAAACTATTAAATTTAATAATTCTAGCAATAATAATTATTAATGTTTTTAGGAATCAGCTGTGTAGTAAAAATCAATATTAACTGTGAAGTCGATAACAAATAATAAAACGATGTGCGTGCTATATAACTACGGGCCTGAGCGTGCAAATTCTACGCGATATTATTGATAATCTTTAATCGGTTATAATTTGAAAACTATTGTAGTGTCGACATTTTTGCATTAGGATTTTTGACTCTACTTTATCTTCAGAATATGCTATTAAAATATCTCTACCGTGGTTGTTAGACATCCTATATATGATATGATAGGGAGGAGGTGTATTTATACTATTACTACAAACAAGTATTTCTGTACATAACGCATAAATATGCGCATAAATTTTCTACAACAATACTTCTATTTTCTTTCTGTTTTTTTTCTTTTTTGTCATATTCGACAAAATATATCGTGTATCTTTACTGTATAAGAAATTGTCAGTTTTCATTGAAGAGTTAAATGAAACTTTTCATTTTTAACGAGCTTACGCGAAGAAAATAGGTACATGATCAATTGTATCACCTCTCGCATCTTCTTATCCATTTTGACGTTGTTTTTTCCTTGGCCTCGGAAAGTGTTTCTTCTTTACCACGCAATATGGATAATTGGACACATCATACGATCTCTCTCATGCGACACTCTGATCTCTCATATTAGTTGTACGGCTTCTTTTTGCGGGTTGTTGCGCCGTCATATCACATTTCAGATATTTTCTGCTCTCCAGCAGCACCAGGCAACATTTTCACTTTGTTTCAGAAGATAATGGCAGTATCTTTTCTTTCTTGCTGAGATCAAGGCTGCGTTCCGAAATTCACTGCCAGTACTGAAATTCTATAATATATGTAACATAAACTATAGATTTTCAGTATTGGCAGTGCATTTCGGAACGCAGCCCTAGTCTTACTTCTGTTCAGCCCGTCGGTTCCGCGCGCGCGAGATACAAGTTGCTCTCTAAATTTTTTTTATGCGGTCCGCTAAAAGTCTCGTACTACGTTTGTCGTCTTACAATAAACTTGTGGTCATTTATTCGAGTTGCGATGAGTTATGTCTTTGCTCCGGAATACGCATTATTGTAACAAACGCTACGCGCGTATTCATAAATTCTTAAATTTATAAAGCTTTAGGTTTGCAAATTTTTGAATTTATAAATGTTCATGCTTCTTTTGGAATGCCTCCAACGCTGGCTCTTCAGCGATATTCTAATGAATAAACAATAACTAACAAATAGAGTATAGAATATACAATATGAAGCATAAATAATCGCAACTATCTCGAATGTGTATTAATTAGCCCCGCACAAGCAGAGTGTGATGGACACATCAGTTAAAACACCAAAAGATATAAATGTTACCTGTAAACAACGATTTATTACTGTCTAAATAACGGTATGTTTCAATACGATTATTGGACATTTCGAGCAGTCGATAGCGTCTCTTCGTCGTCGGCACGTCGAGTCACAAAATAAGATTTAATCGTATAATTGTCGTTGCGATCATATTTTATTAATCCGCAACCTCTGATGTCTCTTTAACTCATAATCAGATTATAGTATAGAGAAAGACTACACGATATATGATTATATTACAGAGAGAGAGAGAGAGAGAGAGAGAGAGAGAGAGAGAGAGAGAGAGAGAGAGCAATATTTTTGTAAGATTTTATATATTACTGGAGTATTTGTACACATAAAAAGTTAGATGTAGGAGGTTTTTGAGTCAAAGTAGATGAAACAAAGGAAAAAAGACATTTGCTCCACATTTATTTAATATTTGTTTTTGGATGTAACAAAAATAGTATAGCTTTCGAAGAAATTGACTAGTATGAATTTAAAACTAATGCCGTTTTCAACGTTGCGGTTTACTTATGGGTCCATACGTTGCGTGATTAAAAAGTTACTGGACTAATATCTCTTTATTTTTTCTGTAACAAGAACGCTCATCTCATAATTTGTCTTATTCCTTTTAAACAATTGCTAAATTTGGTGCGCGCCACCTTTCGAAGAAATTGCACAAGAAGTTACGTAGAAGATGAAATTAATTGCAAAACGTTTCTATTATAAGTTACGAAGAAAAAGAATCAGTTTGCAAATTTTCTGATCGCGTTATATGGAGTTTACTCGTGCTGTTATTACATAAATAAACGTTCGTGCGTGTTTTTTTATGTATAGGGAGATTCCTGTAACTGGTTTTAGACTTATAACTACGAGTGCCCAATGATTCCGTGCGATACAAGTAGGCAGAGTGCAGCTAAATAGCTATAGACGATTTTTTTTCAATTTCTTCGTATTCGATTTCCCAATTAATTTTGTTATAAAACCAAAGATAATTACGAGTGGATTACAAATATACAAGTTTAAAAGTGTTTTGTCATGTGCATCACCTAGTACCTTGGATATAGTCACTGTCATGATTTATTTCATTTCATTTTCAACAAGGATTTGAGTGATATGACTCTCAAATAATACTTTGAATAAAGATATATTTTATTTGCATTACAATAAATTATGTTTTTTAATTTTCTTGGTTGCGCCATCTGTCGGACTTGAAAATTTTGGAATTCATTTCTTTGGGAACGATAAAAACGTACACGTTGAAACTGATATACCTGTAATTTTAACTCATGATTATTTCTTATAGCAAAATTAGGAAATCGAATACGAAGAAATTGGACCAAGTATCTTGACCGCACTCTTTCTCTCTGAGAAAAAAAAGGACATATTTCTATCTTAAAACTTTTTAATTGAGAAATTTTCCTATTTCATTTTTTCGAAAACAAAGTTTTATATATGTAAGGAAAAACGTAAAAGCATGTACAATAACACGTAAATATCACCCATACATACTTGAGAGATTCTTCCTCGATTTAATGTTTTAATGCAATTATTATTTCTAGCAACATCATCTGTTATAGAACCTGTCCTAACATTTAATATAATTAATATACGTACAAAGATCGATCTTTTACTGCCAGAGCTTACGTACAATTGAAAATTTCCCTCTGTATTTCCGTTGTACACACTATACGTAAACGTTAATTTAGTCCTGTGGAAAGATAATGTATTGTAGGAGGGAGAGCATTCTCTCGCAATTTTTTTTCCCTGAAACGCTTTAAATACACAAGCACGCGAAAGCGCTGGTAAAGTAAACGAATTTACAGCCTAGGTAAGCACATTGCGGGAAATTGTTTGAAAAATTCCTGCCGGCCGTTTACCAAAAGCGCCGCGAATGTTTGACAAACCTTCTCGTTGTTGTACAATGTTTGTTAAATAACGTATAATTGTTTATTGACTGCGACCAACATCGCAACGAATACTTCTCGAGACATGTCGAGAGTATATTTCGGAAACGTGCATCGAGCAGCTGTCGAAACGTCCTCTTTTTCTTGAGACTTGTCGAGTATTTTTATAATTGCTGAATCGACAAATTATATCGGATATAGGATTTTGGTCCTTCGTTGAATTATTTATGAGCATTAAAATGATATATTACGCGTTGAGCGAATCTACAAATTGAGAAGGTTTCAACTTAACGGCATTCGAGAAATTTTCTACGCGAATATTCAATCGTCCCTTCCGATCTTGTGTTTCGCGTTTAATAGTTTAATCAGCTTCTTTACTTTGGTAATATATTTTTGTGAGCTATTTCTAAATCTACGAGATCTGAAGGTGGAGGTGAACATGTTTATACGTTATTCATAGCTTCGTATAGTCTACACGTAGCTATGACTGGTGTGCGCGTTGCCCGCGCGTCTGAAACCGCAGGTTAAACGCAGGTTCGATTATTCTAACATCCAATTATTCAGCCGACGACGCGAACGAGAGTTTATATGCGGTGCGAATGGTGAACGAGAACCGGGACTCGCTGGGAACTTGCACCGATTACGCGACGATCTGACGGATGGTTTATGCGGGTTTGTTACTTTCAATACACGCGCGACCGTACGCTTCTACTCGTATCCACTTTGCGTCAGTCGTAGGCGGCTGCGAAGGTCGAAGGGCGCGATGTGTACCTCCTACCACTGTAAATCCTGTGTAATCGTACTTCTCTCGACTTTATTCACCATCCGTCGAAAGTCTCCTGTCTGACGGAGGCCTCCCTCGACGACTTGGTCCGGGGAAAAAAGAATCAGATCCATCTGAAAGCAGACAGAGCGAAATACGGAGAGAAAAAGACGCGTGGCGATAGAATTTCATTATCCAACAAAGTTTGAGGAGAGGGCAAGTCGCGAGAAACGTCTTGTATTGGATTACGTTTCAACGAATAAATCTAACTGAGCGGCGCTTCGTTCCGCACTGACGCACAGTGTGCTAGAAGAGTAAATGACTCGAGCAGATTAACTCGGAACTATGCTTTTACTGTTCCATGCAACGGTTTGCTTCCGACGAAGGCAAAGATTATCGAGACATTTTGCCGAGCATGGAAAACTAAAAATAAACGTGAAACGAATATATCAATTTTTTCTTTATTTGTCAAAATTCCACTTGTATCGCATAATTCAGTCGAAGAGAATGAAAGTTTTGAGGAATATATGAAAAGAAACGGTACCGCGCAATAATAAGATTAATTGTACCTTTCCCCTTCCTCTCTCTCTCTCTCTCTCTCTCTCTCTCTCTATTTTTTCATTTTTCGTTTGCATCAACGCACAGCTACTGTTATTATAATGTTAATAGTCGTTTTTTTGTTATATGTAGTTTTGAAGACGACGAAATATAACACAAGGTGATCGGAATTGGGAAATTATTGCGAAACTTTCTGATCGATGAGTAGGTGATCTGAAAGGGTCTGATAGGAATGGACTCTCTCTCTCTTCGAATCTTCTCTCTCTTGATATTTTTCTCTAGAGAGACACTGTGTGAGGCACCTACATCGTGTGCCAAGAACTTTCGAAGCGTCATCGAAGGACACTCAGGAATAACTCCGTGTGTGCGGGTGTAACACAAGACCCGTTCGCAACACTATTCTATCTCGAATCAAGTGTTGTGATACTTGAGCTATATTTTATGACACAGTAGCGATAAAATAACGTTGTTTCGAAACATTCAGAATTTCGAGCCGCCTTGTATGAGCACAGTTGCAAGACATAAATGTAAATAAGCCGTATTTATATTCATTAGTCTAGTATGGTTGTGAAAAGTACATTTCTGCCTACATAAGTAGAAGTGTACGCGAGCGTGCAATATATAATATAATCCTCAATATTTACAAATATAACGACACAGTAAGTCCTCATAAACGTAAAGATCACTATATGTTGACTCAAGGTAAAAGTAGCGTATCGTACGATCCAAATTTCGACTCGGAATATTTAGCTACGGGCAATCTCTTGGGCTCTCGTTTAGTTTGTTTTCTCATGGATTGAGAGTGGAATAATAGCGGTTAGTATACTCTCGATGAGATAATCTGCCAAATAACCCGCGAGTATTGTTTGCGCGAGTGAGAGAAAAATGTATGATATTTGGAACTATGGCATAATAAAAAGATTATAGTTAGGAACATCACTTTTATAGTAAATTTCACCATAATGCTTGTAATATTTACAATATTAAGTATAGTATAACTGACATGTAAAACTTTTACCAAGAATTATAATCATTTGAAATAAAAAATATAGTAAGGTTGCAAATATTGAATGGTAAGAGAAATTAACTATTTTATATAGTCAATACAATTGGAATATTTGGAAAATATAGATACATGTAACTATATTCCTAAAGCGTGCTTTACTATACACATAAAATAATAAGATGGTGATTATAAATCTGTTTTCATTCTGCTATATCTTTATGTTTAGATAAATTATAAATATATTTGAGACCAAAACGAACTATAAAATAAGTGAGATTAGTGAGATTATAATTATTCCAACTATTTTTTTCTCTCAGTGTGATTACAAAAGTACTACGAATACATTTCCAAATTATTTCTATTTTAGTTACTGATAGTGTGTCGCGGGACTACGTAGAAGAAGAATTCAAAAGACGCTCAGAAGATCAGAGCACAAGTAGATCTTGTACAATTTTTCAATTTCAACATTAAATGTCTCAGTAAGTCGAGTCTCTCGGGTTAAAATTTTGCCGAGTAAAATCCACTCACTATTAAAGGATAGGTAACATCTTGTCATATATGTGCGAAGCTTATTAATTCGATTAATCTCTCGAACTCTTGAGTGACTTGTAACATGTAGACGTAGAGAAACGATTGATAACAAACTATCGCTATTTAGCTGCGCATTTCGTGTTTTTGCAGTCTCGTTATTTCTTGCATGCTTTCGTTATTTCTGTTAAATTTCGCGATGCTTGGAATTTTATCGACGCATCTTTGGCATTGTGCCTTTTAATCTCGGTAGAATGAGATTTAATTTATTTCGTTTTAAGATGGAATGTTTTAATACGTACGGTGTAAAATAGGACGATGGAAATTTTATATAGCCGCGACATGAAATGCTGAAGAATCAATCGACATGACAACACGTAATTAATTCTACACAGTGTGTTTATTCCAATCATTTTTGCAGATTCATTTTAGCTGCCACCGCCAAGCGATGACACGGCTCGATCGTTGGATTTAAATGTGTCGTTTACATTCGCTTCCTTTCTTTTCTATACGATTATATACACGTATCCTTCATTGCAATCTGTTTCCGGCAGGAAGGGAAATATTGCAAGCCAAAGAAAAACTTGCGTGCCTATTTCGCCACTCAAACATCATTTTTGTTTTATATAGTGCGTTGTACACGAAAAATAACTTCTTCTTGCTGCAACTGATGAGTAGAAAGGAGCTTACAATTTGATTCTTCGATTTTTTGCGAAATAAAATGAAGGCTGCGCGTATACGATAAATCGATAAGCGACCGAGTTTGCGAATGTGCGAGTGAGCAGTGATGTGGACATTGAGTTGTGTGGTATACGCGTTTAGTTAGCGTTTAGTTTACCTCGATTCACAATCGTACCGTGTTGCATTTGTCTAGTTTAGCCGGACATTCGTGAGGCATGCACGAGTTTTGGTGGGCCTTGGTTCTCGTCTTCCGTGAGCGTGTCACGGGTAAACTACGGGATGCAGGTCGGACGAGTTTCGAATCCACCTGAATCATGCATTCAGAAATGGAGGTCTTTATTTGGGTAGAATCTTAGCTTGCATCTCGCGATGCGTAATGCTGATTAATTTCGTAGTTAATGTTAGCACGCGATAGTTATTAGAGGATGTTGCAATTTGTTATGCAACCGCCAAGTATTTCCGCGAGCGGAAATACATTTTATAACTACGTAACACGTTAATTTGAATGAAACGTATAAATAAAGCAGTGTATACATCCCTTTCGCGCGAGTCTAATAAAACTTGAAAGAAATTATTATTACACCAACAAAAGCACATTTTCCGCGATACATAACTTCTTCTCCAAGAATTTCAACTATCATAAAAGCAGGTGCTAGTATAACGCGCGTGAAGCTTTCTTATGAAGCGTGCAGCTTTAGATTTCGCTTTTATTGGGAGATTTTACGCCTGGCCGTTTGCTGCCTCCGACAAGCGTTGGTAGTTTACGGCTAATTTTAACAGGAACGCGTGTTTCGGATTGACGCGCTGCAACTTGGATCGCGAGTAATGGTTATGCGCCAATACACACGCAGATTTCGAGAGAAGTGAGACGCGCGCTCCGTAACTCTGTCCAATCTCCTCATTCATTTGTTATGTCTTACCGTATCGAGATACATATTAGGAACGACTTGCACGACTTACCTCACGCTAGTGGTCCTGGTCTGGCTGAGACTGGGATGCCTCGTGACGGACGCTCGGTAGCCTCGTCTAGGGCAGCAAAGCCACCATCCGCCGCAGGCGGCTGACAGGAAGTTCTTTCTGAAGTGCTTCGACATAAATCCGTACACTATCGGGTTTATGCAGCTGCAACGTGCGGCCGGATTAAAGGCGTTGATTCTTATTAAACGTCAGTGTCACCGAGTTTGTCGTGAATGTTTAGAAAGCTTTGGAACAAAGTGTTTCGATTCCTTTGCAAAGTGCCGTTCACGTGCTCTACAAAGCGTCTGCGACCACCGATAAATGAGCAAGATTCGGCCGATATAATATGAGCTCGCCAACGGCCCTCTAGAGGCAACGACCACAAAGTTGCGCGCGTCTAGTTAAAAAGATCGACAAAGTCACAAAAGGCCGTATACACAAAAGACCCGTACCTGTTGAAGTAGGCCATTAGTTGGAACACGGTGTTGAGGTGCTTGTGTGCTCCGCTCTTGATACGAGGAAGATAACCGTAAGCGGTTAGCACATTGTCGATGAGAATTGGACCCCAGCATAGCGCAAACAGCAGTACAACGGCCACCAACATCTTCACCACCTGTTATCGCGACAGTTTTTTAACACAGTTTGGTAAACTCTTACGGCGCGGTTAAACGCGTTTCAAGGTGCGATTTCAAAGTAAAGATTAGTCAACCTGCTTCATGGTCCGTGACTCCTCGTCGGTATCGTCACGACGCGTCCGCCGTTCGTTTCTCGCGACGTTTTGTCGCTTTGTCGTCATTGGTATGGATTCCGCGTCCGTGTTGCTTGGATGTAACCTGAAATAGATGAAATGACAATTGCGCTTTGACTGAACCGCACACAAAAATCAGCAACCTCGCGTAATTCCAATCTCAAATCGCTTGGATTTTTTATTTCAGGTATGTGCCCCATCTCGACGACGGTGTGTGAAAGATGCATTTTGCTCCGATCTTGTACGCAACTTGTACAATTTCATTTCGATGAGAGTGAAATTTTCTCCCTTCGATTAATACCGGTGCGCCTATTAAAGTCGCGTTTCGGGAGAGCATTTCATTCCGATAACAAACACTTATTTATCTGTTTACCTCTATCTATTTATATAATCGTATAATCGGGCGCCAACACACACACACACACACACACACACACACACACACACACACACACACACCTAGTCCAATTATCAGCGCAGCGGTTTCCCGAGAGAGGTCTGCCTCGAGAAATACGCGGAGCTACGAAATGCTTGACTCGAGTCTGTGCACAATCGAGTTACAAAGTGCAAATACACTTCTGCATTCAATATCGCGTCTGTCCGATCGATCTATTTCGAGCAAACTGCCTGCGGGCTCACTTTCCAAAGAAGCACCCGTCGACGCGATGTGACGCGATTGCGCCCATTACGCCGAAACAGATGTTTGTGTTTGTTAAAATCCGACGTTATTACGACGTAATGATAATGAGCAAATTTGAGGACTTGCGACCGCGACTTGTGCATACAACTCAATCGCGATGAAATCTCACGATTGCATGGCGTTATCGCGTCCTGCTCCGATAGTTACACGGCGCGAGCGGCGGTGGGCGTGAAATGCATTATAAATGGAAACACGATCTTTCTTTCGCGTACAATTGTATTATCGTGCGTCGATCCGAACACGAGCTTTCATCATAGTCAGCCTTCCGGAAATTCAACAATCGAGTCAAAAATTCATATTAAACCGCTGACGCGATGCATCGAACGCGGGACGTCCGTCAAATGGCGAAAAATGGCATTCCTCTTTTCCGTTCATCCGCCGCACGATTGACGTCTACCTCGCTGAAAGGTAATCGAAATTTCACGCGAGAAGTGCGCTCTTTCCCTTCTCTCGATCGGGCCATTTTACTTCGCAGACTGCGACGGTTTACGTTGATTGGTCTAATGCCGGCGTTTAATGCGAAGGAAATGTCGCGAAGTTTTGCGAAAGAGAATTCTATTTCTATATACTTACGCGTGTCGCGACGTCATATGATATCGGCGCTTCATAACGCGCCAGATCTCCCAACAAATGGTCGTGTAGCAGAACGCCATGACAGTCAACGGCAGGACGAGAACTAGGAGGAGCATGTAGACCTCGTGGATTTGCCACAGGAGCCCAGCTTCGGAATCGCGAACACACCAGTACGCGATTAATCTCAGTCCTACTTGCTTGTGCATCTGAAAAGAGCTGAGTGCAGAAAATATACCGCTGTAATGCGAGTCGCAAACGCGTATTCATCCAACCGACATTTACATATGCGTGTCGGCGATAAGACTCCACCGGCATACGAAAGGCGAGATGAGACGAGATGAGCTTTTTATCGCACCCTCGCTTTTGCTTCACGACGTTTGTTCGTGGCCCGGAGGATCAGCGTTCACCCTCGCTCGTTTCATTAATCCTTCGCGACGTCACGTAGTTTGCCACTACTAGTGGGTGACCCCGCCGAGAGGTGACATTTGATATATCGACTTGATATAATCTGATATATCATTTGATCTTATGCAAAAAGTACAAGACAATTCGTGTTGCTATTGTACGCTCCGATTTCCACTTATTTGTCGATCATAATGTAAGCGGTCGCGAGATGCAGATAATTAATTGCACGTATCTTTATTATAATTGCATCCCTGCATCTTCGCGATTTGCGTGAATTAAAAGGGGGGG